ACATTGACAATCACGATCCGTACGTTTCGATAGTAGTTTTGTTGGCTTCCAGGAGTAAAACCGTGCTGCATGGAATGCTTTCCTGATGTGATAAAATCGATGGAACGATGCTAATTTCTTACTGTGTTATCTACTACAATTACGACGTTCAGGAAACGGCTTGTTGGTTGGCAGGAAGTATTTGCCACCACTATCATTTTCTGGCAAGTTTTACTTGATATTTTTGTTGTTTAATTCAGATTTACAGACCTCGTTAATCTCTGAGTTCTGGTGTTATACACACAATGATACTGACAGACTTCTGAGGTTGGCTTAGGTTACCCGGAGTGCGGACTATTTCCGCCAGATAATTTGGTGCGCCTTAAATGAACGTTTGATAACATTCCCTATAATGTCGCGAGTTTATTAAGTAAATACAGCCGCTGAAATTGAAGTGCTTCTCTTCCTGTCGATAGACTGTCACATATTTAAATTGTAAAATTTCGAGTACTTTTTAATCTTTATCTATATACCCGTCCAGATCAAAAGTAATTGAACATTCTGAAATGCTGGGGATCTGCCGAACTTTATATGGCAAACTTTGCAGCTACGTTTGCTTCAGTTTTTCCTTATCCGAAGTATATGGCCTAACTAGCTGTTTCATATATCGAAAAACATGTGGTGGCTTTCTGTTTTCTATATTTCGCTTAGTTCTTTGTCGGTACTTTTTCTTAACATTACAAATTGTTGGATAACGTTTATCATGTATAAGTAGAAGGGATGTTAATGTGACCTGTAAACGCAGAGAAAAATTATACTGGAGATCAGTTAATATGATAGCTGGTTAATCAAGAAGTGTGTGGATAGCAGTGTGTTTGTGAGCGATATTCAACGTGTCATTCAAGCAAAGGACGAAAAGATAACGGAAAAGTCAAGGACAAATTCAAAAAATGAAGTTACAGTCAATAACAGCGATTGCACAAACTAGGTGAGAATACTATAGGGCCAGCGAGATGTCACTAAGCCCTAGTCCAATCATCCGGCAGTTGAGTCATTGAATATCGAGCAAATCATCGATTCTTTCTAGGTCAAGGACAACCAACGCGCATCGGTTAATCGTATACCATGGACTGGCCCATGCGGCAGTGGCCTTACTTTCGATTGTATCTACTTTAACTAATATATTTCTGTAATGACGTCTTCTGTGTTGTACAGTCTTCAAAGCATCTACGGTACCTTGATACGTCGATGGGGTAGTCCACGTAAGGTGCTGACCATGAGGTATGACTTCGACATTAGCTAGTTTGTCACACCATTCCCGTCTAACTCGAGTAGGCCTCCAGTCATTTCTACATAGATCATCTACGTTGGTGATTTACAATACGAATAGTGTGAATTATGACAGTAGTTATAGACTAAATAAGTCTGTTTTATCTTCACAAAGTAAATAAACTGACATTTACAATAGCAATAAACTTGCGCTCAGCAACTGAGTTCTAATATGTGTCAAAACATTTATTGTAAGGGTGTAGTAATGATATGTGTTTGCGAATCTGAGATTTGACTAGCCGGCAAAAGACGACAAACAAACATCCAGCCTTTCTAAAGCTATGCGTACGATAATCGGAAGTATTCAAACTGACGTTTCAACCAAGAATTTCCGAAATGATACAATTTAGGACAGGTGGAACTAGATTACTACAACCGGACGTATTATATTTGAAATTCATAACAAGCGCGCCATCAAGTACAAATGAGTTATCAGTTAGTACAAATATTAAATTGAGACAAAATTTAGCATTATGAATTCCTGTCTACTCTCTGCTTGTACTCTGCGTTTCACTGTATGGGAACTTTTGGTGAACCTTGAATCTATTATAGATGTATACTGTTTATATTTTTTACTTGGTACACTAGTTCATTTTGTTTCTTACACCAGATAGATAGTTCACCAACCAACCCCCTTAGTTCATCACAGCCGGAAAATAATATTTTAAACTCAATCAATGCTATTTCTGAATTAAGATTACCAATATACGGTGTCAACAACCCCAGAATTTGGTTTGCACAAGTTGAAGCAATATTCTTGGCGAGAGGTATACGTTCGCAAGCGACCAAATACGCCCACGTCGTCGGCGCATTACCTATAGAAGTAGTAACGGAATTTGGTGACCTGATCGATAACGTACCAGAAACTGACCCTTACGACAAGATAAAAGCTTCAGTAATTCAACGCACATCGCTCTCAGGCGAAAAACTTCTAAAACTACTGCATACTTCATGCGAACTAGGGGATAAGAGACCCTCACAGGTGCTCCGACACATGAGACAGCTAGCCGGCCCATACAAACAGGACGTGGAACTACTTAAGCAAATGTGGTTACAAAGGTTACCGCATAATATTAGACAAATCTTCAGTATTTCAGGGATCTCTGTCACCCTTGATGATTTAGCTGATATGGCCGGTAAGATGATGGAAATATATCCCGATTGTGCGGAATTAACGCCGTACAATCCTCCAGTAGAGAAGATATGAGTCATGCACTCAACATTCAGCAACAGATAACACAGTTAACACGTCAGTTAGCATCACTTCAGGCGACTATTGCAACGATTCTTTCACGATCTGCTAGACCTACGTCCAGAAAAAGGTCAGTTTCCCGACATTGTCCTGGATCACCCAAGCGGGCAGCGAATACTTGATGGTACCAGACGACTTTCGGTGAGAATGCACGCCGTTGCACAAAACGTGCAACTTTAAAACGAACAAAACAAACTATCAAGGAAACGAGCCGGTCAGACAGTAATGGCGGCGCCTGTTTCTGGCCACTATCCAAGCCGTCTATTTCACGTCAGGGATCGAACTTCGGGTTCAGATTTTTTAGTCGATACAGGAGCCGAAATCAGCATTATCTTACTACATTTATCCCGACGACGGCACTCTCAGAGTAGTAAATTATCTTTAGTCGCGGCCAACAACACAGTCATCAGAACTTACGGAGAACAATCACTCATCTTAGATCTCGGTCTTCGCGGACGTTTCACATGGGTTTTCATTGTAGCTGAAGTCAAACAACCCATTCTCGAAGCCGACTTTCTCGCCCTTTTGTTCCACACGCTTGTCGCCGAAAAATCTTTCAAAACATACACGGTCTCTTACATCCAGGTATCAGAGCTACAATAAAGCTCATAACCGAACGTTTTGTGTGGCCCAAGGTCAACTCGGATATTAAACGTTGGACACGTAGCTGTCTTCATTGCCAACGCAGCAAGACCAAGAGACACACTATCAGTACAATCAGGGAATTCCCTATCCCCGACAAACCCTTCCAACACGTTCATTTAGATTTGGTGGGGCCCCTGCCACCATCACACTCCTTCACGCACATTCCTACCGCAGTAGACAGGTTCACCAGATGGGCCATAGCGTGCCCCACAAAAGACACATCGGCAGAAACAGTCGCATCAGTTTTCCTTGATCGCTGGATATCCAATTATGGAGTACCATCACGGTTTTACTCTTGTGATTTGTTGCATGAGTGTGAGTGGGAATATACCATACCTCACATTGGATTACACTACTGGAGAGATCGTCAACCTGATTGGAATTACCAGGCATTTATTACTGTGGATTTACTGTACCAGACTAAAGCTGAACACGCATCAATTTGGTGAACTTAGGTAAAGTCCTAATTTTTTATTGAATTTGTAGCAATTAACTGGTATATATTAATATTACTATTGATCTTTAATAACTTTGTTGATACTTTTCACGTTACTACATTGTCTGGACCACCACAAACTGAATGCATTTATGTGAAAAGGTCTACTATCTGACTTATAATCTGATTCTCAACCACTGTTCTTGAATTATGTATCCTTAAATAAATAAATAATCTCGTACCTATATTGTAGATCAAGTATGCAGCCTGGTAGCTTATAATTTAATTTATCGTATTTCGTATGAAGGACAATTAATTTCTTAAGCTCTAGTTATATTAATGATATGGTATAACGCACACTATTAGACCACCACGGACTTTTATCGTTTAAAGTTATGGAGACTTAAATATTTATCCCAAGATAGCTTACTGGTCATTCCATATCAACACTATCTAAAGCAGACATCTAAAAATCCTTTAATAAACATTATTGTTTGGAGCGACTGCAAACAAAAAGACTTTTAGTGGCCCTATATCTTACTCCAGTAATGTACATATTGTCAATCCTCGTATATAATTATCGATTTAACTCGCGTTAGTGAATAACGGGATTAAATACCTCAATTGCGAGAATGGATTTCGAGTACGTATATTTTGTACAATCATTGATCCAGACAAACTATCAGAGAAACGAAGCGAAGGAAGCGAAATGACGCGCAGTGAAGAAAGTATGTGAGCCAACTTTATTTAATCAAGCGTGACTCAATATTTATAATCAGACAAAAATAAGTTGCAGACATGTGATGGGTAAGATAGAAAATGCACACACAAACGATTACATAAAGGCAGTCAAGGATGATAAGCGAATAAGTGACACAGTAATAATGTAACTTGAGCAGAATGGATAAGTTGGTTTGTTCAGAAGCTAAAATGTGCTATGTCGGTTCGACGTAAGACCATTCACTACAACCTCTGAAAATGTTTTATTATTATTTTTCTTATATTCAATTTTTTTATAATTAAAAGTATGAGTAATCTATAGTTGTGAATCATAGGTTGGACGACTGACGTTAACAAATGTGTTGCACTCTTTCCTTAAGTTTCATTGTTGTTTAAACAGATATCATCATTTTATTCGCACAACCCCTGGTTTGTTGTTACATCTCCAAATACCAAAACTAATCTACTTGAAAATTCAGTATTCATTTTTTCAGCTTATTGAAAAGAATGTTCTTGAGAGTGTCAATGGATATATTGATGATATTTTTTTAAAACAATGAATTCTGTTATCTACCGAATATTGATTCAAGTAAAAACGATACTCATTTAATTTTTTCTTCCCTGAGGTATACTTTGAAAATGTTTAATTTTTATAAATTTAAGTTCTGTAAATTCCGAGTTAATGATGCTTGTTCTGTAGATGTTGGCATAGATAAACATTTAAGTGTTCCGTTAATTGAAAGTATTTGTTTCGAATCACAATTTGTAAGCCTCTGTCTTTGCCCATTTGACACCTTATAATCTTGATCATTTATTAGATTGTAATATATTATAACCAAAATTTCGAACGCCTTTTACTGGTAAACTAAACCACTCTTCATAATGAACTTCAATTCAATATATTACATTCACACAATGTTATTATTACTATTACGTCTGTTAACAAGAAAAAATTCTCCTACTATGCATTTTATTAACATTATTTGTTACCTTACTATTACATTAATTATAACTTGACGTTTCTAATTTACAAATAACAAAATTTCGAAGTAATTATGCCGTGACAGATGCAAAAGTTCACCGTTTTTAACAAATAACATTGTCAAATTCATTAATGAATATATTATTTTGGCCTTTGTAAAATATCACAATAATTATGTACTTATAACTGTAGAGCCTGATGTTGAAATTATTGAAAGCAATTGTTCGCTCAAATGCTCATTGTTTTTCTGTATATATAATCTCATGATTTGCTTGGAAAAATATTGTTCTATACAACGCTGATTAAAGCTAAAAAATCGGGTTTTTTTATTGACCAGTTATACTGATTGCAGGTACTGACAGTTATTTTGCATATCATCAGCCTCATACTTTGAGTTATGAAGTAGGGTGCCTTCAGGTGTACTCGCTGCTTGCTCACTGATTTCAATACTGACTAAAACCTTGGGAATTGCTATTCAGTGTATCAAATTTTGCTACATTTATTTATCACACCAAGCTTATGATTTTGGAACTGTAAACGGAAATTTAAGCGTACTTCTATTACTTATCATTTCTAATGACTTATTTGTAATCATATAAAATAATAAATTTTCTCTTTATTTATATTCTTTTCATGTGAGTTCATACTCTTCATGATAAAATTTATTCGTAACTACTTCAGTACAACTGAATGTATGTAAGATTTTTGTTGATTTGATATGTAAAGTGAAATTACTTATTTCAAATGACGTCAAAAAAGAACCTGGTATTGGGCTATCGGATTTTTATTCAATTACAAGGTGTCTTGGGATTTTATAATTTAATTTCAAATTTGGTATATGGTCAGAACGGATGCTTAAACAGGACAAAATTGTATTATACGATATTACATTCATCGTCAAATAAGCACACAACTTGTTGAAAGAATTCGCTTTTCTGAAAACACTTATTTTATTACCTTACGATAAACTTGAAGTAATATTAAGTAGTCACGTGAAATCCAATAATTTCAAATGGACAAAAGGAGCTCAGTTCCACAAGATGTTTCACAAAAATTAGAAAATCATGGGTTTCACGGTCGACATCCAAAAGTAAACTATGAAGTATGGTTTCGGTGAAAAGATTCATGTTAATTTGCCTGACAGATTTATTACTGGAATTACTACTCACAGTCTGGTATGACAATTTACAAAACTCGAAAAATGTCCATTCTATAAGATGAGAGGTTCAAACAATTGTAAGGCAGTGAACAGAAATTAATTGGCGTCCGCGAAAAATTTTAATACAGTCCTGAAACACTGTGATCTTAGGTTTCAGATTCGTAGTCTGGTAGTTAAGAATGGACTGGCAGTGAAAACTGGATTTTGAAGTGTACATGTAGTAATATATTGTATTGAAATGCATCAATAAAGCGCGTAAATATGTACGAAACAATTACAATTATATAGAAAAACACTCTAGTTTCATAGCTACTATTTTTAGCATTAAAGGAATAGGCTTATTAAAAATTACATTTATGTACTTGGAATTTGAATGAGACAATAATTATAGTGGTAATGTAAAAGTTATTGTTCATATACTATTTAAGTTTTTGAAATTTGTTGAGTGGTTTCTCCAAGCACACAGTGTGACAACATCAGATTCCTTTCTAGTTACATTACTGGGATGACAACATTTAGTGTCCGAAAATTGCAGAGTAGCTTGGTCAGTCAGTCAGTCAGCTACAACGTAGGACCGGGCACATATGTGCATCGGTCCAGGTTGCCATACCTCATTTACACAGCAAGATGAACACCGGATTCATAGGAGTGATTAGGTCAAAGGTATTAATATATAAGGGAAAGATTGCAATAAGGATATAGTACAGGAAGAAAGAATTAGTTAGTAGAAAGAAAGATATGAAGTGATTTTAATCTCTTAGTTCAAGGGAAGACGAGGAGTGTATACACCGACGCCATTGTGATCGATTCTGAGCCATGTCACCAAGAGTCTCTAACCATCGGTTACGAAAGTCACGCAGACCCCAACCAAGTAGTCTGCATTTACCAACATGGCTCAGACTAGAAGTTAGTGACTTCAAGCACTGATGCCACGTTTTGGTTTGGCCTCCCCTAATTCTCTTCCAACCATCTCTAACACCCGTTAGCATTGCACGTCGTGGTAATCGGTGTTCAGGCATACGTAACACGTGGCCCAACCATCTCAGTCGATGAAGATTAACAACCTCATCAACTGATTTACTATCATTTCCTAATACCCTGCGTTAAACCTCACTATTACTTACCCGCTGATCCCAACAGACGCCAGCAATATTTCTAAGGCATCTGTGATCGAAAACTAGTAGCTTACGAGCATCTTTCACCCTTACTGGGCACGTTTAGCAGCCGTAAAGTAAAACAGAACGGACTGCCGTGCAGTATGCTCGTCCTTTGATTGATAGACAGATATTTCGCCTTCACCAAAGGTGACGTAAGTTGGCAAAAGCCAAAAAAGCTTTCCGAATCCGTGCTGAGATTTCGGCAGACACCAACCCATTAGGGCTGATCAGACTTCCAAGATAAGTGAAGTTGCCAACGCGTCTGACCAATTCATTCCCTATCCTTAGTTCAGGTGTTGATGCAGGCCAGTCCTGAAGCAATAACTGGCATTGTTGCTTAGTGCTACCAAAAGACTCTGCATTTTGTCAGCGTCTTCACCAAACAGGACCATATCATCTGCGTCGATAAGTGGACCTCCTGGAAGGAGATCAATACCCGAGAATTCAGTCGACGAGAATGTTATTTCCATCAGTAGGTATATGATGAAGTTAAACAAAAATGGGGAAAGTGGACATGTTCGCCATAAGCTCTGACTCGATTAGTAGTGTTCGAGTAAAGAGCCTTTACAAGATTTATGTACTAGTAGCTTCGTAAAAGTGGTTGTTTCCCAGATTATACGAATGATGATCGTGGCTATATTTATGAACCTAAAACATAACAACAGTTCAAGATTGCTTTACAAAACTTTTCATCCAGATACTCTTGATTCACAATATAAAACCAGGATTCAAATGTGAAAATTTACTAGACAGAGTATTTTGAACAACCAGGAAATTTGGAAATGATAGTCGGGTACGCAAGGCAGTTTATTAATCAAAACAATCAGAAAATCAATCAACAGACAAACACACAAGACGTATTTTCTTCAAGGGATTGTACAAAATGTTCGAATGTGCATAAATTAAAGCTTTCGCAGGTTCCATATCAGATAAGTCTCAAAATGAACTATGAATCAACTATCAGATTTACTTTAGTCATTGAGTGTTATACTAATCTTTCTAACTGAATAATGAAGTGATATAATTTCTACTCGGTTTTACGAAAATGTTTTACTCTACCAATATGCAATTTGGTATTATGTTCGATATGCACTTATATAAGATAACAAATTATGATGTTAATTACAATAATACGGATTGTGTGATAATCTTGAGAGATATATAGGCTAAGTGCTATATTATTCACGTTCTAAATTTGTATCAATGAATGCGTATCACATGTGCTTTAAAGTTATGATTAAGTGAAAATTGGTTGTTTAAAAAAGATGATTATTTTCTCGATTGGTTGAATGAAACGAAAAAGCTTTTGATCAATACGACTTAACGTGAAGAAACATTCGAGATTATTATATTTTACAATTGGTTGTATGTAATATGCGTAAAATAAAAACCTTAATATTCGGTCTAATTTTATATTCGTAAAGGATTTTAATAAAAAAAACATTTTGGAATCGTTATGTATCTTTGAAAATATTATTATTATTGTTTTTACCATTGTTATTATCATCTTGAGGAACTTATTCAGTATCCGCCCCTAAATCTACTATATCTGACCTAATTCATATTATTCTACACATTACGTCATTTCTGATTATTATTCCATTATTCTTACTCTCTTTCACCCCATGTTGACGATATTTATTCTGATCATTATTTATCTCACAATTTCATTTCACTTATAAACTGATTCAAGTTAACACTTCATATTAGTCAGCTCCAACATTAACGATCTGAGTTGACTTTATATAATAAACAACAATTCCTGATTCACATATTACAACTTCCAAATGACGTACTCTACCTTAAATCTGACCAATTTTATGGATTATTAATCTGAATTTATAATTGTAGATCCTAATGAGAAATTCATTGAAAAGAATATTCTTCGTTCATATTAATTGTGAAAATATTTCCATTAACAGATATAAGACTGTATATTCTTCTCAAAGTTGTCGCTGATCATATTGTCTAAAGTAGTATTTTTAATTTTTACAAATAATCTATCCAGTCCAATCAACATGAAATACTCAACAATAAAAAAAATAACTAGAGAGTAAATTATTGTAACCAATTTTGTTTTTGTTTTTATAGAACATCAAAAGTTAATGGATATTCATCAAGTAACATTGAACAATGAACATACGAAAACAATATTTTCGATACGTGAGTTCAAGTTCATTTCAAGTTAAATTCTAAATAAAGAAAATAAAATATCAATAATTTTGTCTTAGCTTTATTGACCTGATTGTTTTAGTTGTTGTTTTTAACAATTCGAATAGAATAAGTATTTGACAAATTATAGAGAAAAAAAATGATGAAAAAGGTAGGTAGACTAATTCATTGTTACATAGTAATATGATATGTAGTTGTTTGTTTTTTATTAGTTGAGAGGAATCATTGAAATCTAAAAGTTAGTGGATAGTTAATGTATAATGTTATGAAATGATGGTTAAATTGTTATTAACTAGTAAATTATAGAAAAAATAGCTGTAAACAAAACACTTTTTTAGATTACTCGTTTTCATTCATCTTTACAATTTCATATAACGCTCATATCAAGATTAGAGTAATATGTAATGTAATTCAAGGTATTTGAAGGAAATTTGATTTTTTTTTGTTCCATTAAATGGTACCAAAGAAATGATAAAATGTTTATCGATGCCCATGTAACTAAAACAAGATCAATTTTAATTATGCTCCTATTCACATAATTTTTCGAGAATCTGATAAGAATCAATAGTTATATTATCAGTTCAGTAAATCAGTTTAGGTCCTCATCTCAAATCTGCTTTCATGCTACATTGTACTGTAACTGTCTACTTTTAAATGTTTAGACATCACCGATAAATAAATTGTGTGAATAATGATTGACTAAGATCTGACACTAAAAGTAACTGAGATCTCTGTACAGCTTAGCAAGTATAACATTTTGTTATAGGGGCTACAAGTGATTTCTGGCTATTTGAAACAAACTATATAATCCATTCATCCATCATTATTCCTTGGGCCTTATTCCAAGATATCAGTAGCAAGCGAAGTAGCTATTACAAAAGAACAAGCAGGAAAAATGATCGAAAAGGGTGTTTTCAACAAGCCCAACGAATAGCTGTATTTAAATTATCGGTGTCATAGTTCGACAAATTAAGGAAATAGGTATACAAAATATTGTCGATCAATCATTATCTGCACAAACAAATTAAAATGCACATTTGTTAAGAATTCAAAAAATGGGTTGAGTAGCACACATAACAAAGCTAGTACAACTTTATTTTAAAATTTAAAAGGAGGAATATATCTCACTGATTACCATTGCATTGTCCTAATGTCATATACTATGTATTCCTGTTACCTCATAATTCGAATATAAGCCAGAGTAACTAAACAAAGTGAATCAAATCATGTTTTTCATAATGATTTTATTAATACCGAATTTGTTCCCAAAAGTAATTGAATGTTAAACGTAAAATGCAATAAAATAAATACTAAATTACTTTTTACGCGAAAGATAAAATGATCATAATTGTAAGCTGAAGGGTGATATTAATATTGATATAAGTATTCGTTCGTTTTTTTCGTTAAATGATCGAAATGAAGATGTTTCAACACCTTAACATATTGCATTTATTCAAATGCGTCAAACCATATGTTATAATTTGTGTCCTGGATAACGTAACGATACCGCCAATTAGAGAACAGTGAATTACCGATCGGACCAGTGACGCATAAAACGCGTGAGAGCAGTCTAGAGTCCTTATTGGTCCTGCTTTCCGCCTAGCCCAGCCAGTTGAGTTCAGAACACCAATTTCAGCCTTTGTGATATGAAACATTTATTTCAAACATACTGGGTTTAAATACCAACCAGACAGACCACATCGTACCAATAAAATATGAAACAACATTTGTACAAGAATTAGCGAAATGTGGCTGTGAATGAGGGAGGTAGTAATTATTAGACAGGACGTAATTCAGGGATGGTAGATCGTATAATCATAATTCATAGGTCAATATAAATCTCGTAATAAGAGGGACATGAATATGAACAGTTTAGTTATTTAACAATTATACGATAAAAATATACGCATATTATTGGTTCATAAATGGATCCCAAAAAGTTACCATTCATTATGCTTATCGGGACCTAACACCATACAAGTTAGATAAATCAACTTTTATGTCTATTTTATAACCAAACCTAATTTGTAATATTCATCAATTTCTTGAACTACGGAATCTTTAGTATTTTAGTGCATTTAAAACGTATATGTAAATGAACTATTGATTAGAAATATTATGTTTGATAAAAGAAAAACAGTCATTTAAGACTACACTCAGTTCACTATTTTATAATATGCCATCAGCTTTTCAATTGATCAATCTTAATGTTAATATTCATGTTTAGTCTTAACTTTTTTCATGAAAATTTTTTAATGTTAAACACTGATGAAGGCAGCATATGAGTAGAAACTGAACAATTTCCTATGTGTAAAAGCGAATAGATTGAATTGATATAAGTGTCTTAAGTATTAGTTTGTTACTTAGCTTAATGATAAGAATAAATTTTGCTTGATCACTAACCAATCATCCTCATATATATATGTATATTTTTTTCTTTTTTCAAGCATTGATCATTTCATACAGAAAAAACAACAATTTTACACAAATTGTAATCATACATGGGAAATTATCAAACAAAATGTGAACTAATTAAAATGGCTTTGTATCACATACTATCTTCCTGTTTGATAATATTTACGAGTCTCACATTGATTATTTTACAGACAGTATTTTCGTACTACATTCCTGTAGGATCAGATATGGCTTGGCCTTCAGTTTTAATTCCATTTGGTTATATTCCTGCAAGTCTATTATTTCTGACAGCTGGTGCAACTTTAGCTACTGGATTCACAAATTCAGAACTTTGGCAAGCAACCAGTGTTGTATGCTGTATACTTCCATTGATAACCACTATTGCTATAGCGTGCACTACATTACAACAATATACGGATACTTTTCCAAAAAATTCAAGTATTTTGATTATGGGAGTGATTAGTTGTTTGACTTCACTTTTATGTTTTATTCATGCTATTCTAATATGTGTCAGTCAATATTTTTTTCATTTACCATGACCAATTATCAGACAATGAGAATTTCACATATCATTTAATGATTGAGTTTCAAATGTTTTCGTTACCTATGAAATTTTAAAATCAAATTTATGATAGGGCATTAGGTAGAAGTAAGATTTGTTACAGGAACAAAAAATGATAAAGCATCAGTTTTTATAAACAGTAGTTATACGTAAACATATGCCATTTATGTTGATGGTATCACGTGTTGTATAGAAATTAAATGAAGGTTTGTCAACACTACGTTGTATCAGTTTAAATTTCACAAAAATCAAAAATATTCAAAACTTCCTAAACGTATATCATTTATAAGTTTCCTTCCAAATGTTCTCAACCATAACGTCATTAAAATAAATGCTTAGCAGTACTGAATCATAAATCCGAATGATAATGTTGCATTTTCTCGACAGAAGTGGACACTTACCTGGTATTATTTTAATTCTAGAACTTTATTGTATGTCTAGGATATAAGGGATTGAAATTTATGAATCTTCATTTTTGTTAACAGTTAATTAATTTAAGGATACTTTTTCAGATATTAAAAATAATACACAGGATTTTCTGGTTATAGCGTTCGTAATATATAGCAGTTACTTACTTACTTTACTTACGCCTGTTACTCCCAATGGAGCATAGGCCGCCAACCAGCATTCTACAACCCACTCTGTCCTGGGCCTTCTTTTCTACTTCCATCCAATTCTTGTTCATTTTTCTCATGTCTATTTCCATTTCCCGGCGTAATGTGTTCTTTGGTCTTCCTCTCCTCCTTCGGGCTTGAGGATTCCATGTGAGGGCTTGTCCTGTGGCGCAGTTGTATCCTTTCCTCAATGTGTGTCCTATCCACTTCCAGCGCTTCTTCCTGCACTGGAATCTGGTTTGTTCTCTCCCACAGTACGTTGTTGTTAATAGTGTCCGGCCAACGGATGTGAAGTATTTTGCGTAGACAATTGTTAATAAACACCTGTATTTTCTGGATGATGGCTTTCGTAGTTCTCCAGGTTTCTGCCCCATACAGTAGAACTGTCTTGACATTTGTATTGAAAATCCTGACCTTGGTGTTGGTTGACAGTTGCTTTGAGTTCCAGACGTTCCTCAGTTGTAAATATGCTGCTCTTGCTTTGCTGATCCGCGCCTTGACATCTGCATCAGATCCACCGTGATCATCAATGATGCTGCCCAAATAGTATAGCAGTTAACTTTTTAATAAAAGCGTAATCAGTTACTCAGTCAATAAAACCACGATCAATATACTTGGTAGCTATACATGTTTACATTATCAAAGTAATTAAAAGATATTGAAAAGTATCAATTAATACTCGACGCAAAGATTAGTTGTAAACGTAATGAAAGTTAATTTTTTTACCTAACACTCAACGATAAAAGCACATATATTCCTGATATTAATATTCAAAACAATTCAGATGACCAAATAGATATATCTGTTTATCGAAAAAAACACTGGGTGATTTTATTTGAATCTGAATAGTTTCTGTCTAGCAAACTAAAAAAGACTGGTTAAAACACTATTCTATCGAATATGGAAACTATGTTTAGAGATAATATTGAATAGGGACTAACAATAGTTCAAAAGTGTTTACGAGATAATGTTTATCTGAGAAATGAGGGAACGGAATTAGCTAGAGTCGAGAAAACTTCAGTCGTTTTACGATTTGACTTTAAAGGTGATGAAATAGTTAGAATGATTAATTATAGATTAAGTGCTATATTGAAGAAAGCATATCTAGTTGCTAAACTAGTTTCATCACGATAAACGAATTGTCTATTTAGACAAACAACAGTAGGAAATTGCCACCTTGTTATTTTAAACTGTATTTACCAGTCTACACGTTTGTCCCAAAGAACAGAAAGAACGGTTCATATTCTCCTGTCGGAGCACATTCTACAAAAAAGTCAACATATTTTGTCATTGCCCGTTATCTGCTTCATAGCGGATACTATGTTGATATTTTAAAATCATTCGATACAATCAATACTTAAACAACATCGAATTTATCACTTTACCCCAAGGCTATCGTTATTAAACTTCGAAACCAAAACTGTGTGTACGTAAGAATACAGTGGTAAATCCCTTTCTATCCTGGTAGCTTTTGTTTCTCAATATTCATTTATGTAATATCATATTCTCAATAACAAATTCCTTTCTTTCATTTATGGGTCTTTTCTGAGTTGTACTCGTCTTACTCATTAAATCTAGCCAATCTATGATCGTTACGTAATTTTTGTACTCTGGAAATGTGTCTCCTCGTGTTTTAAGATTTTTCTTCTAGAACTTTCACATTTAGCAACATATAAATACTGATTGATTTCTGTCATATTTGTTATTTTTATCCTACCAATCTTCATTAATATGATATGAATTATGTACACTGGTTATAAATGATTATTGCTATTGTGTCCAGGTTGTAAGCAGTTAACGATAATCGGTGTGATAAATAAATTTATTTTATTCTCCCACACTTGTTGTTCTTGCTTTAGTCAAATTCCTCAATAGGAAAAACTGTATGAACTGTTAGAAATCAGTCATTACTGAATAAATATACAATCACAAGAAAACCGCCAACTAAAATTCTATTTGTTTTCATGCTTAGTTCATTTATCATTTGTTTTTTTGTTTGTTGGTAGACTCAAGAATGTTTTCGAACAAATGAAAAGCGTGTACTCCTTGTACAATCAACTTATAGATATGTAATGGCTTCGCTTCGCTAATCGATCACCTCGATAACCGTTATTATATAAATCTCAACGCTGCCTTAAATCAGAAGGCAATGAGAAGCGGCAACTACAGTTTATTAGATGTGGTGCAGATCACAAAGCTATAAAAACATCAAACGAATATGAAGCGGAGAGGCGAGCAATTACATAGGCAAGTTTATAGTGAAATCGCATAAGGGTATAGCAAAGGCTAATAATAGGATTTGAGTACATACATACATGGGGAGGAGGATGAATCATCGAGTGATATTTAAGCACTCAACACTTTAGCTAGAGTGTGTCATGTACTCTAGTGAATTGTTACTGTTCAAATAACATTGTCTGTTAAGTAAGTTAATAAAAATGCTTAAGTAGAATTAACCATAATCGAAATTGGTTGTAGGGTAGTTTCTATAGTTAGTTAAAGAACGATTGGGAATCACACCAAAGTGATCCTACATGTAGTATGTATTTAAAAATCACAAAAAAGATTTGTATCGACTTCCTTTCCAACTTTACATCCAATACCACATATTCACAGTGTTTTCCAGTCTCCTTTGTTCTGTTTATTAAAATTAAATAGATTAGACGATAGTCATTTTGAGTATTCCACCAGTTGTTCAACCATAACACCATTGATTGTTGATAACAACCGTTCAAAGAGTATTAGTTTTTACTATGTATTCTTTTAGTTAAACATAATTTTTGGAATAATGAAATAATAGTAATATTGCAGAGTTGAAAATTAAATATTTCATTTCATATCATCTAGACTTGTTTGAAACACTACATAAATGATATTTTTTATCAATCTATGTATTAGCACTTTTTGAATGACAGTATAAAAATGAAAACATTTCTCACATTCCCCTTTTATATTTAAATGATTTCTATACATATATTAGATATATATAGGAAATAGGTAACGTTTAGGGCAAAATATAGTCAAAAGTATGATAACATACCTTCCACTGTCTAATTATATTTGACAATAATCGATTGTGCTAGGATAATCTATTGTAAATTTAAGTAAGGATTTAAGATTATCAAAAAGTATCAGTTAACGATATATTTTACATAAAAAAGAGATACCTTTTACAATTTTGTTTTATTAACTAGTCATATCTTAGACTAATTACAAGACTTAATAAGACTAAGAAATGATTTAATTGTTGTATGAATATTCGTCAAGATTAGAACGAATAGTTTGACAGAAATTGGGTGCCGAGTAAAGAGAAGTCATTATACGTGGAGATTATACTTGAAATAATCTCAGCGACTGAAATTTAAGCAATTCTAAAAGTTATATATTTTTTTGATGATTTCGATTATTACCCTGAAGAAGTCCAGACAAGTTAGCTGGACGAAACGTTGGAATTATATTAATTTCAATCGTTAAGATTATTTCAAATATAATTTTCACATATAATGATTTAATTGTTAGTTCTAAACAATCAAATAACAAAAATGACTTTTACTAAGGAAACACTAGAAAAAATGTTAATTATCCCCTATATCAATTTCATCATCAGTTTTCCTTGTCACTTATGAACACATTTCTATTCGGAATAAGAAAAAAACATCATAATAGTTTTTAAATGATTGATCGTTTATTTGCCTAATTTTATTCACCTTACCATTCTTTATTTTATAAAAGTGTTGTAGAAGATTGTATGAATTTCCCCCATAAACAATTTAGTAGCTAAAAAAGGTAACTGAAATTTCATAGAATCAATAAAATTTCTTTCATATAATTAATTATTTTAATATACATATACAAAAGTCATATATAAGATTTTAGATTGGTGTTGTTACTGTGCCTTATGCATCAAATGAGCATGTGATGTATGTTAGTTAGTGTATACATTCGATAGAAGAAAGAAGAAGAAAAAATGCAAAATAAACCCATCACACAATAATTTAGTCATTTAATTATAATTGAATAAATCAAGTGCCAAATATTTCTGCTGTCAGTTTAAAAAAAAATTGAATCAATAATTAGACTTTTGACTTAAATTTGTGATGATATTCAGTACGACATCTTACGTTACAGTACTTATTAGGGATAACTTAATACATAACAAAATCACTAGAATATCTGTTTTCGTTATAAAACAGAGGTAAATACACTTAACTTTAAACAGGTTGCAGGTTCTAATCTAGCTCTCCTTGCTATTGTTTATGTAGTAGTTTAGTGGCCTGAGATCTGACTCCAGGTAAATCTTGTGATTATCGTTATCAATTTATACATATCGTCAATACTCGTATATAATTATCGACTTAACTTGCGTTAGTGAATAACGGGATTAAATAAGTCAAATACAAGAATGGATTTCTAGTACGTATATTTTATACATTCATCCAGACAGACGATCGGAGAAACGAAGCGAGATGACGCTTAGTGGAGAAGGCATGTGGGCCAATTCAAGGTTGATAAGCGAATAAGTGACAGGGTAGAAATGTGGCTTGAGAAGGATGAATAGATTGGTTTGTTCAGAGGCTAGAATAACCTATGTGGGCTTGATATAGGACCAGCCCCTACAGTATATCTAACCTTCAAATAAAATTAAGTGCTTAAAACCAATTACATGAACCTACGTTTGATAAACGATTAGTATATATATTAACAATGTCTGATACTATCAAGCAAATTATTATATTCGATTTGCATTTTAGAACACTGGATGTGTTATAAAAAAATAGAATCAAGTTTATAATGTTACCTTACTCCAAAATTATTAGCACGTAACGGTTTATTTAAGTATTAAAAAACGTGTCATTATATTCGATATGTAAGGACTGAGCAGTACACATTTATGTAGGCGTTATGTCATAAGCGAGCTTACTGGATGAAATGTGAGGCAATGATTGTCATCTATTTCACCTTCCGGTAAATGCTGAACTGCGGAAACTGATCAAACTACTAGTAGCGATTTGAAAGTAAGGATAATATCCAATAGATGTGAGTACCTCAGAACGTTTTAAGAATATTTTGTCATGACAGATATATCTTAAGAACGAATCTAAAGAAAAGTGACATTGATTTTTAAAATTATATCCTTGGGATATAACAACAGCATAATAACAAAGTGACAGGTGTAATATCGAAATTGTAGAAAAATAAAGCCTTATGAATAAACAAAAATGATATTCCATTCGTTGGTATTTGACATCTGCTACTGGTGGAATCTCAACACAATTTAGACACATTTGTGTGCGAAAAACTCTTGAGTTGGTGTTCAGTTTAAAAACCTCAATGTTCAAAGTTTAAAACCTAGACATTACGTAGAGATCCATTCAAGGGGCTTATATGCCAACAATCAATATAGTTTATCGTACTGGCCAAAAAAGTAGTAGTGTAGTGAACGAGAACAAAACTGGGGACAACCAAATGTATTTTAATATAACGTTACGGAATATCTTGTTAAAATCTGAGAACCATACTTTAAATAGTTCATTTGCAAAATATCCATCAATTTCCCCAGAATTTGTCGCTCCTTCGTTTCTGTACCAACCACTCTCTTTATCGTTGTCTTCTCTTCAATTTTCTCAACCTTCTGCAGCCAGGCATTCCACTTTCGATTGATGATGCATACTACTTACATCCGTCGACATCAGTAGCACATGCCACAGTAGTTATAGTGGCTTAGTAGCCTCGTGAACACTCGAACACTTAAAGCAGTGAAAACAGGGTTTAAAGTGCAATAAAAACACCATAACTGGTATACAATTACAACTATATAAATTGAGATGGTGGAGAAGATTTGTAGCTCAGGTGGATGATTTCGGTGGATTTTTTGTTCTCTGAGCTGGATGGTTTGGTCGTGGAGCTTTCGACGTTCTTCTGAACGACATCATCAGCATAAACTTCAGAGAGAAGTGAAGCTCAGAGAACAAAACTCCACCAACAACTATATAAAAATATACTTATGTGTTAATGATGATAATGTATAGAAAGTTTAAAAAGATTTTTTTTTCTCCTATAACTTTGATACGATTGTCGGAAATCGCTCAACATTATTCATAGACTGTTATCCGATAAGGAGAATATTGAAAGATCTATGATCACTAATCTTTGTAAATGTATGGTCAATCACTCATTCAAAAACTCACTGACTATATCAGAAAAATGACAACACGAATTAAACATCAAATAACACATACTTTCTCCAGTCTGAAAGTATATATTTCAATCAGTACATGAATAAAAAAGCGCCAGCGACGCACTTTAAGGAATACACTAAGTAACGTAAGTTGAATATGTTTCCACCCAATACTTTTGTGTGGATGAATATAAAGAAGTACATATAAACATTGGAAATAATTAGTTAATAAGAAAATTTTGTTTACACAGCCAAAGCGATTGATGTTTCAGTTATTTGCTACGAGTTTATTTTATTCCACTCTTTATTCTTAAGAAATTGTTGTTCACTTCAGATCAAGTAACGAGCCTACTAACTAATCAGCTAACACAAAGAAATATTGGACTTCATATAGTCTTTCATCTGAATACCTTTCATTTCCAATCTCCTTAGAGCTGTGATCACTTCTCTACATTTCTAACATGATACCGTTAGTTCTATTTTAAAGTATAAATTTTCAAGATGAAAGATATATTTATTTGAAACAACATGAATCGAGTTTGAATTTCCCTGTGGGCATCAACACTAGTGTGTAGATAGATCCAAATGATAAGTCTTAAATAAGAAAAAACACATGTTCTGCTTTCCACTGGTAGACATAGTCCAAAAATACTATAGTTAATGTTTAGGAAAATCCTATTACATTACAGTACAGGTACCTAAACCAAGAATATTCTCATCAATATGTTCTCATCCAATTTTAAGGTAATAAGTTTAAATGATTTATTAACAGACGTGTAAAAGAAAAACTTGTAAAGGTTTATCCTTCATATGTCGAGTAATAAACATATGGATATAAAAAGATCATAAATAATCGAAGGATTCCCTAAAGGAAGTCATTATATAAGTTAGGATATTTATAATATTTACAGAAGTAACTCACGCTTATAAATGCACCAAGAGGACGATGTACGGAAATATAATCGCAAAAATAATGTATATTTTTCTCCAAGAGTGATTTGATCAAATTATTAAAGCCAAGATCATTTCATACGTAGAGTATACGGACCAAATCATATCAATTTAAAGAAATCAAACAATTACTACTATGAAAAAATAATTTTAACTAATAAGTACTTTTATATACTGACATCTGATCAGTACTTTATAAGATGGATATGAATGAAAGTTAGACTAGTATACTACGTAATTTGTTGGTTATCGATTAAAAAGTTGTATCAGACATCATTCGAATTCACACAGTTAGCATCATCCAATAAAACAGACCCATCTTCTATGGTTACTTTAGGTATGGGGATTTCTATTGTTGGGAGCGAGTCATGAACTTTTACATTTATACATAAGCGAAAATCAGCACATAATAAAATACCGTGGATAAAACATAGAAAAGCTATTATACTGTTAATTATACCCATAATTAACATGCTTGATTTAGGTAGAGATCCATCCATGTACTGTTGTATAGTTGTGCATGCGATTGCAGTTGTTACTATTAGTGGAAAGATGCAACTAACAACACTGGCTGTGTCCCATTCATCTGAGTCTGCTAATCCAGCAGTCAAGGTTGCACCAGCAGTTAAAATTAATAAAAACGCAGCAATGTAAGCGAACGGGATTAGAACTGAAGGCCAAGCGAGATCTGATTCTGCAGAAACACAATATGAAAATACTGTTTGGATAATAATCAAAATGAGGCTCGCACATATTAACACACAAAAAGCTATTATATGATACATTGCAGCACTGATTACTTCATATTTCTTTCTAGTGAGCTCCATACTTGGTGAAAATATTTGCAGAATCCACTATATTTGCTCTCAAAAGAATCGGTGATTCAATGGTGTGCGAAACGAATATATTGAGTTATGAAGAATTAACCGCCAAATACCGTCACTATTCAAATGGGTGATATAAAATTCCAATATTTTACATTTATTTAAGTTTTAAAACAATTTGTAATGTATCAGCGAGGTTTCTTTTAAAAAAACCTTTGACAGCCATCAAAAGGTATGTGTAATATTATCGCATCATCTAGTCTATGCCTTTATGACATGTAATGAGAACTGGGTCCTTATTGGTTGCAAAAGCAATTTTGTTTCACTTCAAATATCTCATACAAATCAAACATCTATTTGTAAGTATGTTTTATTAATGTTTAAACACTAACGTTTTCAGTTTAGTGAAGGGACGTTTCTCAAATTTACTTAGGTACGTATTTGTTGACGTGTAGTCTTTATTACACAGTAGGGCCAGAAATTCAACGAGGCAGAAAAGATGTAATGATTGTGTGTAGGTGTAGAAGCAAAAAATTGATTCCTCTCTGTAGTGTTTTCAATTTCTTATTTGGCCATGTGACTATTTTCTTTAAGAATATTGAGTCAGGAGTTATGATTGACAAATGGAAACTTAATATCAAAAACGGTAATTGGGCTTTAGAATGCTGACACTGTCTCTAATAAATTCTATTACTTATTCGAGATTCATAGTGAAATCGAAACTTGGAAGAAAGTAACGATTGGTACCAAATATAGGTAGTTTGTTTTATTTGAAACATTCAAGTGACTTAGATTTAACACTTAAAAAGGAGGGAGATAAATCGAAGTAACTTTATTGAAAATTAAGGAACTGTATGTTTGTTGATATTTAACTGAATTCGAAGATATCGACCATCAAACTCCAATTTAATAGTCTAAAATTATTTGCTCTCCATGATACTTGAAAGTCCTGGGTTTGATCATTGAGCTGTAGTTGTACACTGATGAAGAGCGTCAAACTAAAGCAAGATGTTGTCCAATGATTACTGACTTTTAAGTCTTATATCTGATAACAACCTTCAATGGAAATAAATTTTTCGATTTATTGGTGTTTTAATTGTTCTTGATAACTAAATTATGTAACAGACTTCATTGGCAGTCAGTATAGTGGTTTCTTGCTTGAAGTTTCTCGTTTAATAAGGAACAGTAAAACTTCCGTGTCGCTTACAGCTTATATTGTATGGTAGACCTTTACTCGTACTTTATTTCAGTAGTACATCCGCGGGTAACCGATATCACAAGCAAAGACTTAGTTGGTTTGAGTACGATTGACATGTGTTGTTGACTTCTTTTTCCAGTCGTTTACAACATGTATCCCATTTTAAGGAATAATCATATCAGTTATATCTGTTGATAATAGGCGCTTAATTCTATGTTAATGTATATTTGCGTATTCCGTAAATTAATGATCAATCAATTTCACTTTCTACTTAGTTTAATGCATACAGATCTGACTATTAATTAGAGTTAATCATTTTTTTTAAAATTTTGGGTGTTAAATAAATCCTCATGTATTTTTGATTAAACTTGCATCGTCTGACTCACAACTTTCCAGGAGAAGTATCAAGATATATTTGCAATTATAACAGTGACGAAGTGCACTTTGGACAGTCAATAAATCTTCATTTACAACAGTATTCTATGACCCTACTACGCATTTCAGGAATAAGTGGTTTTCAATTTCAAATAATTAATAGTAGGATGACGGATAAGTTATAGGTTATAAATTTTAGACTTATGCGTTTGGATAATGCAGAAAAGTAGTCAATATAAAGAGGAATTAAGGATAAACTTCATTCGTACCAGCGATGGCATTACTTACTTCCTTATGCCTGTTACCTCTCGTGGAGGAGTATAGGCATGCACAAGCACTCCTCATCCAACCGTCCTGGGAAATCCTTTTTATATCTGCTTCCAATTCCCGACGTAGTGTGTTCTTCGGCCTTCGTCTTTTACGTTTCATTTCAGGATTCCGAATAAGGGCTTGCCTCGTGATTTCCTCAATGTGTGTCCTATCCACTTCCAACGTCTTTTCCTGATTTCCTCATCAGCTGGTTTGTCCTACCACACAGTAGGCTGTTGCTGATAGTATCCGGCCAACGGATATTGAGTATCTCGCGTAGACAACGGTTGATGAATACTGATATGGGAAGAAAAATCAATTTTCGATTGATTTACTTATAATGAGTTTTGTTCAACATTACTTCTCTTCTAATTCAGTGTGATGATCATTAACTATATTATTTGTTTTCTTTTGTCGCATGATATTTTATTCTGTATAATATACGATAATCGTGTATTCCATTGACACGAACTATAATCAGTCTGTGATTTATTATAACTCTAAGTATTTTTCATATATGTGATTTAATCCTCATTATTACTCAAAATGGGTGTAAAATTAATATATAAACCAGTGTATTTTAGAATATTTTGATCATCGTTCGTCCTCGTCATAGTGTTTTGGGGTTAATAAATCACCACTTATACCAGTCTTTGTGTTCTTACTTTCGCATCGTGGGAATTGCAGAGGTCCCTCGTTCCGAGTATAAGTGATAAGTGTTTCCGAAATAACAATCAGCGACGATCAGATGCTAAAGTAGCATTAAAAGAGCCAAGGCAATACGCATTCAAACGACAAGCTGTAACAAATACCTTTACTTTTTTTTATGTATTTATTTGAACACATAAATATTGGTACAATAGGACACCAAGTATATATGCACCATACAAAACGATGAAGATTCGAAGAGAAGAAAAGAACAATAACGAACAGATTAGTGTAAGGTAGTGTAATAATAATAATAATAATAATAATAATAATAATAATAATAATGGGGGAAACGGAAAGGTACAATCAGAAGAAATCTTTCAGTTAAAGAAGAAGCAACCACTTTTTACGAAGAAAGTAAAAGAAGGTCACAGCAGGATCGCCACTGGCTTCTATTCTGAGCCATACCTGATAACGTCTCCAGCTACTGTGTTGCATCATCTCTCGGACACCAGCCAGGGAGTCGTGGAGGACCAACACAAGCCAGCCATTTGCAGCTTTCTTCCATACCACGACACCATGTCATATACTGACCATCTCTCCGCTTTTTCCAACCAGTCCCAGAGTCGGCAAATAATGCACGACATGGAATTCGCTGGGACGACATTCGTAGAACATGTCCAAGCCACCGAAGTCGGTGTTTCAAGATGGTGACACCAATTGCATGATCGTCTCTGTGTCTGAACACACGATGCTGAACCTCTGCATTACTCATATGGTTTTGCCACTGGATGTCAGCAATCCTTCGAAGACAACAATGATCGAACACAGAGAGTCGTCTGACGTCATCAATTCGGAGAGGCCAGGTTTCACAAGCATAGAGCAAAACTGCTTTCACTGGCGCGTTGTAGATCCGACCTTTTACAGCCAGACTAACATCATGAAGGCGCCAAAGATGGCCCAGATTGGCATAAGCCGCTCTGGCTTTCACTATGCATGCATTGATCTCATCACTCACGCCACCACCAGCACTTATGCAGCTACCTAGATACATGAACTTCTCAACTACTGCTATCTGCTCACCATCCAGAGTGAGTACAGGATTGGAATCCTGCCAGTCTTGTAGAAGTACTTTGCACTTCGATCGTGCAAAACACATACCATACCTACGGACACTGATTGCCAACTGATTAAGTGCGGATTGCATGCGTTGGGCATTATCGCACAGTAAGACAATATCGTCCGCATACTCAAGGTCGAGAAGTCTTTCTCCAGGCAACAGATCCACACCACCATTACTTACATTCATCAGAGCTGTTTCCAGAATGTCATGGATGGCAAAGTTGAAGAGGAATGGTGAGATTGGGCAACCCTGCCTAACCCCACTACTCGAATGGAGCAATGGAGAGAGGTGGTTGTATGCCCTCACTTTGCCTGAGGTGTTTTTATATAGGGCTTTTAGGATGTTAATAAACTTCTCAGGCACACCCTTCTTCAATAGACAATCCCAGAGAACAGTCCTGTCCAACGAATCGAAGGCAGCCCTGATGTCAAGAAACACTACGATTGTTGGCCTTTGATAAGTATAGCAGTGTTCTAACATTTGGCGGAGGGTGGAGATATGATCAACGCATCCTCGACCAGAACGAAAACCAGCCTGCTCATCGCGAGTCAATCTTTCTCGGGTTTTGAACAACCCATGAAGTATGACGGAAGCCAACAGCTTGGAGGCAATCGGAAGTAGACTTAACCCCGATAGTTGTTACGGGAACGACGTGAACCCTTTTTAAAAATAAAGGACAACTATCGACTCATTTTATGACGTTGGTACACTCTCTAGCTCCTAAACCTTTGTAAACAACGTCGTCAATTCCTTAGTCAGAAAGTCACCACCATCTTTAAAAAGAGCCGGAGGTAAGTCATATGGACCTGAGATTCGCAGCGCTTCAAGAGTTGGAGTTCCTTGCGGACTTCAGCTTCATTTGGTGGATCAGTCGTCACTAGCCATGGAGGGCAGGACAGTCCGACGGATGTTGCCGGAGCAGCAGGCCAGTTGAACTGCCCTTCGAGAAATTTTGCCCATCGTCCAAGACGTCGATGGGTGTTAGTGATTGGTATCCCGTCACCCTCACAGATTTTTTCGCTCACACCTAACTCCTTGCTGCAAGTGGCTCGGATGAGTTGGAAGAGCTTCCGGTAATTACTAAATGCAGCTGCTGCCTCCAGCTCATTAGCACGCTTCGACCACCAGGCCTCTCGGTCCGTACGCAAGCTTTGCCAGATTTCATTACGTAACAGCCTTCGTTTGTGGTCAAACTCACAGTCACCCGGAGTAGACCGACGGGCTTCAATGAGTTGTAAGGAACCAGAAGAAACACAGTGCTTAAAAGCGGGACGTTTCGCAAACCCACAACTGACTGTTCTTGCCATTTTCATGGCGTCATGCAATTGCACCCAATGCTCATCTATACTTTTCGGTGGAGTGGTAGCTAGCCTAGAGGCTAGCTCGGTTCGATACTTATTTGCAACAGGAGTTGCAACCAGCTTGCTAATATCAATCCTTTGCTGGCGGTCACTTCGTTGTCCACTGAAAAGTAAGGAAAGATTGGCGCAGACCAAGGCATGGTCAGAGTCCAGATAGGTACTCCAAAAGGAACGGCAGACTTTTACACAACCACGCCAGCGGTAGCTGATCGCGATGTGATCAATCTGAGTCCAGGCTTGGGATGCAGAGGGAGGACGCCAGGTGGCACATCGGCGATGACTGTGCCAAAAGTTAGTGCTAGCCAGAAACAGGTTGTGGTCTGTGCATAGTTGCAGCAGACGGTCCCCGTTATCTGACCTGCGACCAACGAGTCCCCATCGGCCACCTAAACG